ATTATAGCCTTTGTGATCATAGTAGAAAATTTACATGTCAAAGTATCTGGTTCTGATGAATTAGTAAGCATTTGGTTGCTTTGTCTGATTCAATAGAATAGGCCTCCACTGCGAGGTGTGATGAATAAGTAGCATTTAAGTGTGAACTACTATATTGGATAGCCTAAACCGATGTCTGTCCTTTGTTTCTTCTCGTGGTTTGAGTGGAGAAGTTTCTTATTATAAGATGTTAAATATTTTTGATATTAAGTCTAATATAATGAATGCAATACTTGTTAAGTTTGAGTGTGTACTCAATTTAAATGAATGTAACTTGGGCTCTTCCTTTCATCTCGAATACTGGTGTTGGACACTTCAAGCATCATGTCCATGTCCATGAACTAAATAGTATATTTAGAAACATAAGATGACCAATTTTAAGTGATTATATTCTGAGAGCTGGAAGATTTAATCTTGACTGTAATGTTTCTGCTCCTTCTTCCAGCACCTTTGACAGTTAATGCTTTTACTGGAACTTATGGAATTAATTATGGGAGAATTGCTGACAATATCCCAACACCCGACAAAGTTGTTCAGCTTTTGAGAGCTGCAAAGATACGAAATGTTAGAATATTTGACTTTGATCACAGCGTGCTTCAGGCTTTCAGTGGGACTGGGCTTGAGTTGGTTGTCGGACTTCCAAACGGTTACCTCAAAGACATGAGTGACAATGCAGACCATGCACTTAGTTGGGTTAAAGACAACATACAACAATTTTATCCTCAGACTCGTATTGTTGGTATTGCTATTGGAAATGAAGTACTAGGGAATGATCAGGACCTCTCGGAAAGTCTTTTAGGTGCAGCAAAGAATATCTATAACGCAACAAAAAGTCTCCATCTTGATCATAAAATTCAAATTACCACATCCCATAGTTTTGGTGTTTTTGATAATTCTTACCCTCCATCAAATTGTACGTTTAGAGATAATGTGAAACAACAATTCATGGTGCCGCTTTTGGCCTTCTTTCAACAGATTGGATCCCCTTTTTGTCTTAATGCTTATCCTTTCCTCACCTACATGAGTGATCCAAAACACATTGATGTAAAATATGCCCTTTTTCAGAAAAATCCTGGCATTGTTGACTCCCAAACAAAACTCCATTATGACAATCTGCTTGATGCTCAGATTGATGCAGCTTATGCTGCTCTAGAAGATGCAGGTTTCAAGAAGATGGAGGTAATAATTACCGAGACTGGTTGGGCATCTCATGGGGATCCAAGTGAAGCTGTTGCTACTCCAGAAAATGCAAAGACCTACAATTACAACCTGCGGAAGAGGCTAGCTTTGAGGAAGGGGACTCCAATGAGACCAAAAATCATGCTTAAAGCTTATGTGTTTGCAATGTTCAATGAGGATGACAAACCTGGGCCAGCTTCTGAGAGGAATTTCGGGCTTTGGAAACCTGATGGTAGCATCTCGTATGATGTTGGTTTTCCTGCATTAAAGTCATCTGCAGTATCTACATCACCCTTTTCAATAAAGGTATACATTTGATTTATATATGTATTTGTTTCTATCTGTAGACTTAATTAAGCTGAGTAGAAGACAGCCTCATTTGTCAAAACTTATGAAAACTTATAATTATATTGATCTAAGATTAGTAAATATTGCTTCAAGAGATCAAAAGGAGTTCAAGATTATATTACACAGTGTCTATTCAGATCAGATTTTTACATTGCTATTATGCCGTACCCTTTTTTTCGGGTGTATTCAAATAGGCAAGCAAATATCATTGCTAGGCTTTATGAGTTAGTATTTATCAATATCAAGACAAGTCCTTTGTACAAGCAATGCTGCTCTGCAAGTTTAGCGATCCTTTTGTGTTAGTGAAAATTTCATGGTATACTAGGCTTGGTTTCATGCAGTATTCTGATAGGGATATAGTGTGCTACATCTGATCAAAGTCTCATGGTCTCTGTTGTCTTATACTCTTATATGACTATTGTAACCTTGATACATGGAAGTTTATCTTTGACTTTGTCTCGTTGTTAATCTTGATTAGTTTCCATCTCTATCTCCAAATGTGATGCAAGACAGCCCCTGCGCCAGAATGTTTGGTTGGGTTCTTTTTCTTTTTGAAATGAATGTGCTAGATCTTAGTCCCATCTTGCGTAACTGTATTGAAATTGAGTTCATTATTACATGTGGGGATGTAGTTTTTGTAGAGCATACAAATATATCATACTTCATTTTCCCCTTGTTCTGACATATGTGAATTTGGGAGACCTTTAGAGCCTCTTACTTACAAGCTTGGAGAAGTTGGTGTAGGATATTTGAAGGTGTGATAAGGGACATGATTGTCAAATTCTATGACTATGGGTATGGTAGCCGGGTAGGGAACTAAACTCTTATGACCTATTTGGTAATCAAACCTTTCAGTTCTGTTATTGTTCTCTGACTACAGAAATCTGAAAATTCTTTACAAGCTCATTTTTCCAAATCTGTTCACTACTACTCTACTAGAGCATGATATAAAAGTCTGAGCGACAGATTAGCAGTTTCTTTCTAAATTTCAAGCTAATATTTGGTACCTCTTTATCTGTAAGACTTTCCGAACATAGGATTGTGTTCATATATCTTCAATAAACTTGGAGGCATATGGTTGAGGAATTTAGTTAGCTTTGTCATTCTCTCAGGTTTATTTTTTGTAATTTATGGTCTTTACAAAGGAAATAATATTGAGAGTTTGAGACACACTTTTTATGCATAGGATTCAGCATGCCACATAGATTGTGAGTGAGTCTTGCGACTATTATATGAATAGTATTGGTTATTGTAACCTTTGTTAAAACTTAGGATTTCACTTGGGTTACGCAAGGCCTTATTTTTCAGGAGTAATGTTTAGTCTACGACTCTAGGGGGATTGGTTTATTGGTAGTTTGCTATGACAATATTAGTTGGTTAGGATTAGCTGAGAGAGAGAGAGGTGAGGAGAGTGGTAATGTCTATGTAGATGAGATCATCAGTTGGAGGGGGGTGGGGGGGGGGTGTATCAGAAAATTACGAGGAGTTATTTTTCTTGCTTAGCTTTTTTTCCGGAGCCACATGAAGATCTAGGATTGTAGCCACCTTTTGTTTATCAAATCACATCAAATTATGGTCATCTTTCATTCACCCTGTATTCTCTTCTTCCTCATTTCTATAATTCAACTTTCAGATACATTAAAGCCTAGAGGTGTGCCCCTGATATGATATTATGCCGTTTTCCAGCTATCACTTTATTTCACTTTAAATAGCACATATTATCATAATGGCTTCACTCTATTCACTTTGAAACCCCTTAATCATATTTAGTAACTTTTATATGAACCTATTGTCCCTGACATGACCCTCATCCCAACTTTGCCGTATTTATATTTCCTGTAATTTTTAAGGTGTAAAAATTTAAAGTTATATATCTGATTCCTTGATTTACAATATGGACAGGATATACGAGCTCGAGGTTGGTTGACATCATATTCCACCGTTTTTACTACATCCATGATGATATTGTTTCTGCTCTTGAGATCATGATAAAGCTTCAGCGTGAAATTTATTCAGATTTTAAAGTAGCAGGTACTTTTTCGAGTATTCAGTAAACTAATCTGTTGTGCTGATATTAAAAACATGTTTTAGCATGTTTCCAGCAGCCACAGATGATTTTTGTAACTATTAAAACACTTGCTGGATGAAACTGATAATATTTGTTACATTCAGCAGTATATATCATTTTCCAATTAGCAAATAAAATCTCCTCTTCTGCTTTGTGAAGAATCGACAAATGTTTTTGAGTTTTTATCCGTCAGATGGTGCTTACCATTGTTTAGCTTTCACCCTAATTAAGCCTTTTTGTTGGATGTAAGCGTCTACATGACTTTTTGTTTGCATTCTATGTTGGACGAGTGTAGCTTATAACCTTTGAGAAAAACTTTGCTGGTATCTTGGGTTTGGTGTTATTTATGGAACAAAAACGATCATACATGTCTTGAGTTACGACGATTGAAATGACTTAGTAGGGCAGTTGTGGGAGGTGCCATCTATTATGGAGTATCTTGATGGCGCTATCTATTATGGAGTATCTTGGTGTCCATAATGGGTTGCCACATGCCAGGCTTGCGAGCGATGAGGTGGGATCATTGGGTATAGTTGTGGCTTATATCCATGAACCTTAGCCTGCTTGGCCCTGCTATCATTGTGGCTCGACCTTGAATGGTCCTGTTAAAAATAAATTAGCCTTACGCTTGCTTGGCTGGATTGCTAGGGGGCGGCTGTCTGGATGACATAGGCTAAATGGTCAACTGTTTAGTTCCCCTCGCCGCCCCGGACTGGCCCACGATCAGCTGACCGACCAAAGTACATGACACAAAGTTTACAAACAATTTAAATAGTATCTACAAATAGTACTCCCAACAAACATTTACGTACTTTTTATGGTTTATTACTTTGTCTAAAAATTAGTACCATCAAGTAATCAGGGAAGTATTTTATTCTTTGCTAGCTGTATGATTTGTATTTTTGTTTGGCTTACTAAGAGATCGAATATAATAGTAAAATAATGGTACCTCTTCCCTAAATTTCAAATTTTGTTATACCGGATGAGATTTAATGGACCTAATTCTTATTTCTACCTCCGTCCTGATTAATTAGCCACATGTGACATCAATGATCATAACTCGATAGATTATACTTTTAAAGTCAAATACGCAGTATAACTTATGATTTTACGACGAAGCCACAAAAGATTTTCTGAAAAAGGTTAATATGATGAGAGAATATACAATACACATCGTATTAGTTGGGAAATTGTCAATTTGTAATAAACAAAGCAATAGAATACGAACTGATCAAGTCATCCTAACAATGCCTAAACGTTGTCCGACTTGGTGGCAACCCATTATGTCCGGCTACAAAGAAAATACATGTAACATGTTATATATATATATATATATATATAATGTGCACATAATTATATTACACAAATAGACCTTAAGAACACACAAAGCTCTGCATCTGAGAAAACGAGAGATCGATAATGGCTGGAGCAATGTCGAATGTATTGGTCATGGTTGCAGTAGCTATAATAATGGTATCGAATGGTGTTGTTGCGGAAACACACATTGTGGGAGATAAGAGTGGATGGACTGTACCATCTCCAGCCACTTTGTATAGCACTTGGGCTGCCAAACAAGAATTTGCTATTGGTGACATTCTAGGTAATTACTAATATTTTTTTTTGTGTTAATTAGTTTATGTAGTTTAAACTACTTTTATGAATTAGCTTTTGTGATGCTTGATGATATATTAGTCCTGAGAAGGTTGGTTGGATCACCTGATCTACACCCGGCTTCTGCTAGGGTGTCGCGGTTACATCCTTAGCCTGTCCTGTTGTCTGTTTCCCTGTTGAAAAGACTTAATTATGTTAAATTTTCGATTATGAAACTAATGTTACAGTTGAAGGTAAGAACAAATTTGTGTAAAATCTGTATTGCTAGTAGAAAGTCAACTAATACAAGTAATAAATCAAGGGAAAATCATACTAATATATTTCAAGTACTAAACTTTATGAATGTAACATTGTTTATATGTTAATCTTTTGCATTGTTTGATTGTAGCTTTCCAATTTGCTGCTCCTCACAATGTGGCCGAGGTAACAAAGGAAGGTTATGAAGCATGTGATCCAGGGAATGCCGAGGTTTTCGCCATTGGCCCGAAAGAGATAACACTTAACACAACAGGACCACACTACTTCATATGCACATTTGCTTCTCATTGTGTTGGTGGTCAGAAACTTGTTGTTACGGTTGGCAGCACCTCTGACTCATCAGACGCTGCTCCCGGTCCCAGCACTACTGCCTCTCCGAGCCCTGCACCCTCAGTGGCTCCACCACCACCGCCTTCCGACGTAGGATCCTCACCACCTATGTCTGTTACATCCACCTTCTTCTCTGTTTCCTTCATTGCCTCTATTATGGCTCTATTATTTTAAGCATGATCACCCCTAAACGTGTATTATTCTGATTACTATTTTGTTGTATTTGATTTATTGCTATTATTTTTTTTCACAAAATGTCAAATTAAAGACTATTACGAAGTATTAAATTTTGTTATCATGGTGATTTTGTTAAATGAGAACGATGGATTGACATTCTTTTTACATGTAACAACTAACGTATGCACTGTCAATTTACGTACATGACTTCTTTAATTAACTTAAGGCAACCATTGGTCTTTATGTGACTTATTAGTGGTCATATATGGATTCAAACAACATTATATGACCCTGAGATGCATTTCCTACCATTTCGAGAATTTTCAACACTAAGTCTCAAAATCTTCAAAATTGGTCCGATTTCGTGGATTATAGCCTTTAATTTTGGATAATTTATGACTTTTTTGAACTTCAAAAGGAAACAAGTCGGGGTGCTACGCATAAATCCCACGACATCCCAGAAGGCCATTTGGATGGTTGGAACTGTCCACTTTGCCTTTAAACCGTCAATTTAACAATTAATGTACACACCTTCTTTCATTGACTTAAGCTAGGCCGCCAATCGGCTTGTATGTGACTAACTAATGGTCGTATATGGTTCTAAACCATATTATATGACTTCAGAAAGCATCCTATACAATCTCGAAATTTTTCGACACTAGGTCTCGAACCTCCAAAATTGGTCCAATTTAGTGTATTATAATAGCGGCCTTCAAATTTAGCTTCTAGGGAGTATGTTTTAACCTGGCGAGATTATACATTGAGGTGTTTCCAGGAGCTACCAAAAGGCCCCAAGAGGCTTACTTGGTGCATGGAACCACCTCATTCATGCTTGGTTCACCCTTTAATTTGTTATATCTTAAGATGGCGTAGTTTCCTTATTTTTCTTTGGCCCTATTACCACCATAACCGTAGAAAACTTGAAGAACAAGCTGGAGTAGCCATCTTGGCCTAGGAGACATGTAGATTATTTTCAATATCAAAGAGAACCTGCTTTGAGAGTGAGGGATAACTCAAGTGGTTAGAGCTCCCCTCCCGATTGCTAACAGTCCCTTGTATCTAAATTAGAATATTGCCTTGTCCGCCTACATAGATCTTCCTAAGCTTTTTTTTTTTAAGTTATGTTCATAGAGTTATATTAGAATATACGTACTTCGTATATTGTAAGATCTTGTTAGATTTATTTCATATTATATTTTCAAATATTAACAATTTAAAAAAAATTATAAGTACGTATTAATGGTTAAAGTTAGACATTTTGGATCCCGACCAAGAATACTAAGCTACCATGACATCTAGACATGCACATACAATTGTAAGGACTCCATCATCTAGTACGTGCTAAGCAACTAAGCTAGAAGAAAAAAGAGATGAAAGTTGACAATTCCTTCATCTCTTTATAAATTTAGTTGAGGTACTTTGACAACTAATATTCCTATATTATTTAATTGTATTTTAGAAACCCAATTAAAATTTAATCATCAAGTTTAAGATAATGATGCACAACTATTTATGTAATAAGCAAACCAATAAAATCAAAATTGCAAAGAGAGAACTATTTTTCAATTTACGTTGGTCTAATGTTTACAAGATGAATTCGATTTGTGAATGTTTGATGCATTAAACATTGCTAAAATTTCGTTTTCCTATCATGTACATAGTACATTAGTTTATATGTTATGGTACTATGGAACACGTACCATGATAACGTCACATTTAATCTTAGCTATCCGAATTTACAGTATTCAACTTTATGAATGGATCTCACACGGTGGCCTTGGTGAACAAAGATGCATATGAGACATGTAACACAAGTAACGTTATCTCAGTCAAGACTCAAAGTCCTGTACGAGTTCCTCTTCAGAAAATTGGCCAACTTCACTTCATGTGCACCATTGATGGCCATTGTTCGTCCGGCCTCAAATTAGCCATCAATGTCACTGACGAGTCACCTATGTTGTCGTCGCCACCAGCTCCCTCGTCAGCCCCATCAGCTTCAAATGTCACTCCTTTTGCTACTCTCATTGTCTCATCTAGTCTTGCTTTATTTTTGCTTCTTGTGGGATTCTATTGTTAACCGTTTGAAAGTGCTCGCAATAACATATAGTTGTTCAATTTTGTAAGAGTGTAAGACAACGTATGTGTTAACATTATTGATGTGGTATTTCTTATTGGTGTGTATGTAGGATGACATGGTAACACTTTATTTATGGTATTACAATAAGTCGTAAATTGAGGGGCATGTTAACATGTCGTACTTCATATTTATGTGTCTTCCAAAGGCTAGAGAAACTCTTAACAATAAGGGAGAAATTCTTAACGATCCATCTCTCTAGATAAAAGGCCTAAATTACATGGATGCATGGATCTTGGGAATTAAAAAAACCTTCAAAATGGCTAATGACTGTTATTTGGGCCAAGTACACTTCCAAAAAAAGCCCAAGTAATCGACTTACCAATTTGCCATTACTCAAAAGTTATAACCCGAATCAAACTCGATTCAAACCTACCTCTAAGGCTCTATTCAGTTCATTTATTTCTGGTGAATTGAAATTATTTTTACACAATTAAAATTATTTTTATTGAATTGAAATTATTTTTTACTGATTCTCAATTGTATTTCTTCTTTAAATTTTAATGATTTTTACTAAACTTGAATTATTTTTATTAAACTGAACTTATTTTTACTGAATTGAAATTAATTTTACTGAATAATTTTTTTAAAGATGAAGTGAATAGGGCCTAAGTTTTCTAGCTATAATTAATTTAAGCTAAACATAGCTTATAACCAAAAAAAAAAAAAAAAAAAAAAAAAACCTACTAGTAATTTAATTCATGTTGAACATAGTTTATAGCCAAAAAAAACATCAAGCATGTGATCTCTGAATAATGATTCTGTGTTATCAAAGAAAGCAAATCTCTTGGTACGAAGTCAACAATATACCATTGACTTCACATTTGATATACACTATAATTATTCCATACTTAAACTTACACTTCACTATACCTTATATTATACTGATCGAGTTACATGTATATATAGTTACTTGCACTGTCTCTTCGACCAAAACAAATATTTTCAAAGAGAGAAAATTAAAAGATGAAAAAAATGAGAATAATTTCAATGATAATCATAGAATTTGCATTATTATTGTTTCATTGCACAGATGCAACAACATATATGGTTGGAGATGCATTAAATTGGGTGGATCCTCCTACTCCAACAACCTATTCTATTTGGGCTTCTTCCAATGTCTTTGTCAAAGATGATGTTTTAGGTAATATTTTCTTATGTGTGTAAAATCAAAATAGCTTATTATATTTGTTGATTTAATAGCTAGTCAAGAATTATATTATTTAGCAAATATATTTTCCTTGTAATATTAATTTTTGTAATTATGTGTTAATCATTTTAATTCATGTGTTTCTAAGGAATCATTTTCATGAATTGAAAACTTTTTCTACCTTATTTAAAAATTGAAACACATATCATGCTTTCAAATATGTTGATTTCACCCGTGAACAAGCTTTTCTACAAAGTATTTTGTAATCATATAAGATATATGAACGTTTGAATAGAATTACTATAGATGATCTAATAAAACGTAGAATAAAATAAATACAGACAATGTTCCTATACCTATATGTACATTTGCACACCCATCATGACCAATTATTGTAACGCTTTTATTTAAGTTGTATATATTCATGGATGCTCAACTCAAATGTTGAACTAATCTAATCATTTTTTTTCCAAAATTTGCAGTATTTAATTTCAATAATGGGAGCCACAATGTAGCAGAAGTAACAAAGAAAGCCTACAATAAGTGTAACACAAGGTCTCTTATCTCCCTTCACCACCAATCCCCAGTTAGTATTCCCCTAAACAAAGAGGGCATAAGATATTTCATTTCCACCCTTAATAATGATTGTCTAAATGGTAAAAAATTGGCCATCAATGTCTTACAACACTTGCCACCACCGCCTCCGGCTACACCACCACCGGAAATTGCCCCGGGATCGAATAGTCCAACTCTTCCTCCTGCTGTTCCTACTATTGATGTTGTGATTACACCTCCTTCACCTTCAACTAATTCAGCTCCTTCATACTTTGGTCCTAATGTTACCTTTCTAAGTGTAATGGTAACCCTAATTTGTGGTGTACTATGTCAAATTGTAATTGTTTAGACTTTGAAGTTTTGATTTTGTAATTAAGTTCTTTATTGACTTGTGAATTGACACTATGCGAGGGGCCAGGGTGGATGATAAATATGTCATAAACTTAACATTCATTATCCTAGTAGACGCATCACAATGACATAATCTTTGTTTGATTAGATAAGATTTATTCTTATTCCAAGTCTAAAGTTCGAAAAGTGTTATTTTAATCAAATTACACTTCTCGCACACCATTGCACATAGATTAAAAATAAACTTAGTTAGAATTTCAATCTCATAAGAATGGGCGAACCAATATTAAGAACTTACGAATTAGTTGTATACAATAACAAATTACACATCGGGTATTGCTAATTCTACAAATTCTAAGACTAATTCTGATTTCAATGGTATTGGTACGACTACATACACAATCTTTTGAATTCTAGAACAACTTGAATTAGTCATAAAAATTGAAATTGTACTCCTCCGTATTAGAAATCGTCTTTTTGACATTTGATTTTTATAATTCACCAAATTATAAATAGGTGATGAAAGCATAATTATTACTCTAGTTACGTATTTACCAACATTATAATTTTAGACTAATCATTCTATGTTTTTTTTTTTTGGTGATGCATCATCTTTTTATTGTTATTTTTAGGTTCAATTATATGTTATGCACCAAACACCATCATTAATTTTTGGGCTATATATAAGCATTAAATATACTCTTGGAAATTGTATAAAAAATTAAGAATTCATGACAAAATACGCGTAAATCAGTGTAATTAGTGTTTATATTTTGATGATTTTTTAACTTTTTACGATTTTCAAGTGTAAATTTAATGCTTATATGTAGCCTTAAGAGTTATGTATAGCATTTTCCAAATATTTAGCAAGTCAAAAAAAAAATTGTTGGGTCAGGGTGAAGTTTATCATCACAGCCCCAAAGGCCGTCCCATCACTATGTCAAATAATTACAAATTAACAGTTTAACACAAAGTATTTATAGTGAAAAATATTACTGCGTAGATCATCAAAGTACTACGTAAGAACTACAAGTAATATGTAGTGAAAAATATTTTTAATATGATAGGATATCTTTTAGGAAGATTGTGTACATAGTGGTACAATATGAAAAAAATCATTCAACTAATCAACTTGGACAACTTTAATCGGCTGCACAATATTTCAGACGCAAAAATTAGGGAAAAAAAAGGCTTTTATTTTATTTCTAGAAGTTTCTAGTTGGTTTTTATTCTTAATTTTGACATTGTATTTATTATGATATGGTTTTATAATGATCTTGATGGCTTGGATCACATGATCTGAAAAAGAGGAGTTAGGATTCAGAGGTGAGATGAGGACAATCAGGTTTATAGAGGGCCATATTTGACTTCTCTTCTTTCAATTAATTTTTTTTTTCCTAAATTTTTTTTAAAAAAAAAATTATAAAAAAAATTCTTGATAAACCATGAGGAATATTGTTATTCAAAAATTACAATGCATGTTTTTTTTTAAAAAAAAAGTAAATTATGATAAGGATTACCCAAATACAAATTATAGAAATTTACAGCTCTTATGATTACAAGTCTTTTTCTTTTTTTGTATATATAAAGAATGTTACTTTATTTTGTTATTGTAGCTTATGTTATGAAATGTATAGCTTAAAAATAATCTTTCATTATTCCTTAAAAGCTAACAAATTAAATTTGTTTTTATGTCAAAATCATGATCCTTATAATACTATAGTGTAAAACTTTTTCAATACGAATTTGTCAACCTTCTAGTTATAAATATCATAACGCATTATATTTTTTTACGTCCAATATGTAATAATTGTAATAAACTCCGTACTTAATAAGTCATTGCTTGGTCAATAAAAGAGATTAGTAAGTCGGAAAGCAATCACAATTCACAATTAAGAAGAAGTAAAAGGACAAAAAAAAAAATAGTCAACGAAAATAAAAAGTCCAAATAGGTTAGGTGGAAATGAGACCAAACTCTTGAACACGGCTAATTGCATGTGTACACAAAATTCTTATAATCTTACTAGCTACTTTGTTTTTTGAGACTAGATAAAGAAAGCTACATAATTTGATACATACCCTTTAATTTTAAGACCCCTCTTTCCTCTTTCCTTCTTTGGCCACGACTAAATGTCCCCAATATACACGGGTACACGCCGCCAAATATGCACCCCATTCCCTTAATTATTTATCATCTACGTCTCCCTGTATCTTATAACATCATTTAATGCATCATCATCATCATCGTTGTCTTACATTAATTACGTAAAATTACGTATTAAAATAATGTTAATTTCGATTATTTGATTTAATCCATACTGTACAGATAAATAAAAGAGTAATTTTTTAAGAGCATATATATAACGACATTTAAGCAAAATGTATAAATTTGTATATATTACTTGTATGTAATACAATATATATACGCTCGGACTTTAAAGTTGTTTGGTTGCAACTCATAATCATGCATAACAAAATATTGAAATTTGGTTGATAAAAAAAGAGCTAGACTTGGCTGAAATGAAACATTAATTTTGAAATAAAGGAAGTACATTATCGGGTTGACAATACTACTTAAATTATATCCTTCTAAGTAAGTAGTATAATTGCATAATTTTCATGTTCAACCAAACATTATTCACTCTTTAAGAAATGAATATCCGTGTATTGATGTACAAGCGTACTTTAAATTAGGGTAAGATTAGTATATGGAGTAATTATACACCAATTTAAAATATATAAATATTAATTTAGCAATATCTTTTTAATAAATAATTTTACTTCTCATGTCTAACCACAACCCAATAATTACAAGTATGTTACACGTGTGTATGAACTAAATATCCGAATTTTATAAAATTAAACAAATAACTCATGATTTAAGTCCTTAATTTAGATTTGAATTCAAACTTTGCTAATTAAATCTAGCTAATTAGAATTTAAAATCTCAATTAACATAAATTAGACCTGTGTATTATACATTCACTCATTAATAATTCACGGATCAATTTTTTTAAGATCCAAATACCTAACCAGATCTACCCAATAATTAAAATCCTTATTATAATTATTTTTATTATTATCATTATTATTTTGTCTTCCACCATTTTTGACTAAAATAATATTGAACATTTGACAGCCCAAAAAACCAACTCAAACCAAAAACAAACAAAAAGTTGACCTCTTCACACTTCAATTCTCCTAATCCTCCCAAAATAAATAAATAAATCAACTAATCCACAAACACGTGTCAAACATCCAACGGCTCAACCAACAAAAAATTCTCCAACTTTTTTAAAAAACACGGTTCTCTACTTTTTGTTAGACTTAGAATTTTTTTGTTATAAATACCAAAAATAACACACCATCTAACTTCATCCCATTATTTCTTGCTCTAATACTTTCTAAAAACACCTCAAAGTTTATAGAAAACTTAGAGCAGGGGCGACTAATTCATTTGAAGAACACAACAACAACAACAACAACAAAAACTCGAAAAAATGGCAGGATACAAATCATCTTTGTTACTTGCACTTGTTATGATTGCTGGAATTTCTGAACTTTGTTCAGCTGCAACACACACAGTTGGTGGTAGAACTGGTTGGACTATCCCAAGTTCCCCTTCTATTTACACTACTTGGGCTAATGGTGAAACCTTCGCCGTTGGTGATGTTCTTGGTACGTATTCTTCGTGTTAGCTAACTTGGTACGTATTCTTCGTGTTAGCTAACTGTCTTTCGAGTACTCCATCCGTCCCATAATAATATTTGCTGAGGTGGTATTATGTATATATGTATATATATATATGCCTACTTCGTAATCACTGAGATTGTGAAGTAGGTAAACTACAAATATTGTGGGATGAGGGAGTGGTTATTACTGGATTTTTTTTTAATGCATCTTGGATCTTGATTTAAATTGATTTTTAATATTTTAATTTCTTTCACTATTTATGATTGGTTAAGATTGGGATTAGTAATAATTTGTTAAGGCATCTTTTTAAAGATCTAGACTTTGAATCAAAGACTTTTAAGAAAACAAAAGATAAAGGTAAAAGTAATTATAAACTATAAAAGTGGTAAAGATTCGTTAACAATGTCAATATTAACATTTGTGATGATAAAAATAAACAAGTAATTATTTTAGTACTGCAAAAAACAGGAGAAATGTTTTTTGTTTAATAATTTATAATACACATGAGAAATAAATATCAATAATGGAGCCTCATATTTAGTTGCATATAGTATGCATGGAACTCCATATTGGACCATTTTTATATTTTAGCTTTATTCTTCATACTTTCTCATTTACTTTTTTTTGAAGAAAAACATGTGGTGTGATCGATAGTGCATTATTTTAGCACCAAGCTTTTGGAACAAAGTGTGTTGTACATCAACCAAAAGATTTCTAAAGCTATATGATTGTTGTACAAAAATGCCTAATGTTTGTTGACAAATTTGCATACCCTTGTGTGGATAGTCTAAAGTCGGTTTGTACGTGTTAGGTGTTACATTATGTCATTTGTACATTTTCTAGAAACGATTTGAACAGGTAAACTTGACCACCTCAAACGTTGTAACTTTTATCTAACTAATTCAAAATGCGAGTTGAGGACATTCTCCTTAAAAACGTCGTTTTGTATAACAAGTTTTTCTTTTGAGTTAAATATGTCGTTTATTCACAGACTTTATTAACGTATGTAGGTACCATATACTTTGTATAATACTTCGTACTTCATATTGTATCACAATTTCTAACATTACATAATTTAAATATTTATGCAGTGTTCAATTTCGTAACCGGGGCCCACACCGTAGCCGAAGTGAACAAGGCAAACTATGATGGATGCAGCACATCTAGGACCCTTGGTGCCGTTCACAGCACCGGACCCGCCAACATCACCCTCACCACCGCCGGAACCCACTACTTCCTTTGCACCATCCCCACCCACTGCACCAACGGTCAGAAACTCGCTGTGACCGTCACCGGACCCACTGGTTCTCCCGCCTCTTCACCTGCCCCTGCTGGTGGCGCCGCCGCCCCCTCCGGTGGTGCAGCCACCCCCGCCGAAGGTCCCGCCACCAGAACCACCCCATCTGGCAGCCCCACCAGCCCCACCGCCGGTTCACCCGCCGCCGATGGTCCCGGAAGTTCATCCCCTCC